TGAGCTGATTTTGGACAGAGTCAGAACATCTGGGGGGGTACTTTATGGGAGGCCATTTTTATATTTTATGGAATATATCTGTTATTTATGTTTGAAGAAGAAAATTGTTCGATTAAAAGTTACTTTTAATATTATTATCTATAATTTTTGTTTTATGTCAAAATTTCCTGAAATGGTCCGTATTCGAGAAATTTGACAAAATGTGCAAAATTCTGATTTTTAATATTAATTTATTAATAGGTAATTGAAACTAATAGACGAACGTTATTATAGTTATGTCTAAATAATTAGTTTAAAATATGAAAGTTAGGAGAAAAGTAAAAAAGTTTGTAGAAAAGTTAATAGAGAAAAAAAATGCGGCTTGCAGCCGCCTGTTCTTTATTTACAACAAATTATAAGTACATCGATTGAATGTACAAAAAATAAAAAGTACACAACAAAATAAAAACAAAATAAACTAGATAGGAAAGTCATGTGTTGGACACATCAGATTTTTTTAAAAAAGTATGCTAGTGCCACTTATTCTCTTTGCACATAAAAAATTATGGTATTATCTTTAAAATTGTGTCTTCTAGGATTAAATCAAAATGCTTATTTATACAAATTTCTTGCTATTGTCAGCGGTCAACGGAGCAATAACTTTTAACAATATTATGAAAATCAGTTTTCTTTACTTTGACATATTTTTTAATCCAATGAAAACAATACAGAGTCGAATAAAAATGGCAACTTTCTGCCATCTATTTTAAACTAGCAAAAGCTCCAGCCGTCTCTAGCGTCACTTTCACCTAATCTATGTCTCTAGCCATCATTTCTAGCTTTTATTATACTTTGAGAATCCACATCCGATGCATCTGAGATGTAGTAAATCTTTGATTACGTGATTCAGTATACGTAAATGTAATGGGACAGATGTGGATAAAAAAACGCTCGAGATGTAAAAATGCATACGATGTGGATTCTCAAACGCGGCATATGCCTATAGCGTATTTATGATTTTTTAAATGTAAAATTAAATTGGGATTTGATTTACTTCCTTCATAGGATAAATATTTTTATCAATTTTAAAGGTAATTTTAAACTATTTGTCCGATATTAATGTAAAATGCATATTGACAAGATTATTAAAATAGTTGTATGCCGGACGCCACTGTTTTCCCGATCGGGCGTTTTCGGTTATTTTTACTGCTAAAACTTATTGCTAACTTCACACCGGTGGTAATTGGTAATAGCTACCAAGCAATGTGTTCTGTGCAAGCAATTATTCTCACCATGGAGAAAGGATATACAGGGTGATTTTTTGAAAAGGATCCATCCTCGATAACTTCGTTCTCGTCTTGATTCAGGTAAAATCCAAAAACAGGTCAATTTTTATCCTTAGGCGGACACATTTTTAGATCACAACTGATTTTGTCGGATTAACCCCATAGCCCCACCATCCCCCACCTCAAAAACCTTCAATAGCAAGGGGGGCCGAGTGACCCCTCGTTGGAAAGGTTTTTGCATTTACCATACAACCATGTAAGAATTATTTCGTTTTGTACATGGTGGTTGAAGAAAAAAGACAAATTGCAATAAATAGATTTACATTTCGCTTTAATAGGTTAATTTTTGGAATAAAAATCGTATTAATTGTTTACAAAACGAGAAGAAACGGATTAGAGTGAAAGGAAGCAAAATCACAACATTAAGTGCTCAAAATGGCCACCGTTATTCTCCATGCAGTAGTAAAGGCGGTTTTCAAATTCCTCTCTCACCCGTTGAAAGGTTTCTCTAGGGATTCTTCTGCATGCATCAGTTATTCGTTGTCGCAACTCCACTAAATCTGCTGGTTGAGTTTTGAAGACAACAGATTTTAGGTGCCCCCAGAGGAAAAAATATCTAGTCCTGCCAAATCTGGTGCCCGTGGAGGCCATTCTATTGCTCCCCGCCTGCCAATCCAACGATGCGGAAATCTCTGATTCAGCCAGTTCCGAACATTCACAGTGAGGTGGGGCTCCATCTTGCTGAAAAAAAGCTCATTTTCTTCAAGTACAAGATTTCCATCTTGATCCCGCTGATTTTCAACTTCAACCGTTATCAAGGGATCTATGATATCCTCCAGCAGCTCTAAATATACCTCGCCAGTCAAAGTCTCATTAATGA